AACATTAAAAAGTGAAAAAAGGATAAATGCAAATAACTAAACTACACAGAAAAATGGAGATCCCCATAATGAGACTCCCTATCAGTTTATGAGATTTGGGTGCCTACCGTCTATAATTTAGAGGAAAAAAAGAACGTGAACCAAGGATCACGTTGAAGAAAAGCAGTAGATTGGCTTCTTCATTTTCAGTCATACGACGTGTCATTATTTTCCTTCAGAGTAGTTGCAGCCAATGCTGAACTGAAGCATATGTGTGTGTGTTCTCTCTCATATTTCAAAAGTTAAACTATGTGACTTGGTAGCTACTTACATACATGATGTACAATCAAAAAACAGGTAAATAGTTAAATTTTTAAAAGACAGTAAAAGATATTTTGTCATTAATCTTCACTGAGATACTTCCTCTCACTTTGACCATGCTTATCCCACAGTTCTTGCCACTTTTGGAAGCAGTTGCGCATTTCTCTAAGGGCGCTTTCGTCGGGTCTTTCAACGTCTTGATTCAATTCACAATGTTTATCTTTCCTGATCAGTTTGACTTTGGGTAAAAGGTGAAAGTCACACGGTGCCAGATTCAGTAAACTAAGTGGATATGGAGACTCCATAGTATTTTGACAGAAATTGCCATATAAAAATTTGCGACAGTGTTGTAGAGCACAATCACATTTAGTTGCGCATTTCTCGGGGCGTTTTCTATGCAAATCATTTCTCAACCGCTAAACTCTTAGAATATTCAGAGATCACCCTAGTGTTCCTGGGTGCAAAATCAGCTTGCATAGCTCCATCAAGTTGAAAAAACAGCACCACCTTGCTGTTGGATCTGGACTGATATACTCCCCCCCCCGCCCCCCAGAGAACTGGGTAATTTCCAGTAAGACCTTGCTCTTCTGATCATAATCAGAGATTCAAATTTCATCTCCCGTGATGACATGTCTTAGAAAGCTGCAATCTGAAGTATCATGATAATGACAGCCCAATGAAACTGACAACATTTCGTGTTATTACGCTGTAATCCTTGGTTTGTCCCACACTTGAACAGACACCTCTCACCTGTAGCCCGCAATCCAGTGGGGGCACCACACAAGTCAGACCTCATCACACTGTCACGTAGGTTTGTACACTGCTTCTTGTGCTGAAGATCCCTGCTCTTCTCTTTGATGGAATAGATCAGCGGCATTCGTTATGTCTGACAGCACGGAGGTGCCGAAGTGAGTGCCAGACTGTTAAGCCCCTTGGAGAACAATGGAGAACGAGCAATGTCAACCGAATATGTTGTTACAAAAAGTTTTGTCGTATGTAAAGATGGGGCTCTCTGCAGGACTGTACCTGCCAAGATCTGAATTCCCAGGGAAGATGGGGCCTGTCAATGTCAACCGAATATGTTGTTACAAAAAGTTTTGTCGTATGTAAAGATGGGGCTCTCTGCAGATCTGAATTCCCAGGGAAGATGGGGCCTTCACAGCAAAGGTGAGAGGAAAGGAACAAACGGGGACACATGAAGCAAGGCTCAGCAGGGTGACGGATACAAATGGCTTTGTGAAAACATTTTCTTCATCTTTCCATTTCACACGTGGATGACTTCAATATTTTTATGGACCCTCCCAACCCCTACCCCACCTTTTGTAAATGTTTTATGTAATGTCAGCCTATAATCATGTCAGTATGAAGAACGCGATGGGCATGCTGCCAACAATCACCCTGAAGAGGGACTGACAGAGTCTCCGGCTGAGAGAACTGATGGGGGCATGTAAACACACACTCCTAGGGTAAACTAGAATAGAAACATCAGGCAGTAAGACAGCAGATCTCAGACATTCCGTTCAGGCCTGAATCTGCTATTGCTACTAAAAGGGCTGTGGACAAGGGGGCGCCTGTCACAGTTACAGATTCTCTAGTGGATGAAATAGAGGTAGGAGTGACAGACCCACCTATCAGCCACACCAGAGATGACTGATGAGCCAGTAAAACCAGGCAGCAAAGCCCAGCCTCTCCCCAGAATCCATTTGTAATTTTCAATCTCTCTCTGTCTCTGTCTCTGCCTCGCTCACACTGCAGCTAATCAGTAGTGATAGATGAGGGTAGATATTCACTCTTTCCTTCAGGCACCCAATTGCATTTTCTCTCGCTTGTCACCAGGTCTACCATCCATTTCTCAGTTCATCCTTTATTCAAATAATTAAAAAAAGGAGTCAAACCTTTCTTAGAGCTGTAAATGCAAGAATATTAAGAATAAGTTTGGAAAGGAAAAAAGGATCAAAGGATCTTGTTGTTTTATTCATAAAGGGACAGATAATATATGTTTTTAGGAAGAGCCTGTTGAGCAATCAGGATTGCACATTTAGATAAAGTTCAAATAAAAATGCAATGGAATTAGAGACCCAGAAATGCCATGCTTTGGCAAAAGTCTAGCCCTAACTCTGTGTCCGCAGTTGAATTGAGTGTGGTCATTCCAACTGAATCAGCAGAATCACGTAACCACGACTCTGGCAGATGTGTGCAAGGCCTTGCCATTTGTATAGATGTATTACTCTCTCACTCAAATAAAAATGGGCTATTTTTTACCATAATTCATTTTATCTATCATCTTCAACACGTCACTGAGCTAGTGAGTAAAGTTCCAACATTAGGGCTATAGCTCAGGCTGTGTAAATGCAGTAGAGCTAGAAAATTCAGTGTATCCTGCTGCCCAGGATTTATCTTCAGAACAAGGTCACATGGTGGACACTCAAAGCATTAGAGCCAGCATCTGTAATTGAGGCCAAAACAGCCTCACACAAAACAACCAGATTGAAACTCTTGGTAATAATACACTTGGTGGTGCACGTAGGGACATTTTTAATCAGGAGATCAAATCCCTGAGGATGGTTATGATGCTGAAAATGATAAAGTGATGAGAACAAACATTGTGATGAAAAGAATGACAACCACAAAAAAGGCACACTCAGGACGTGTGATACATAAAGAACTTCTCTTCCTCGTTTAACTCTTCTAACCTGATTTAAAGTGGTGTGTGGACACCTTTCCTACAAAAGACTCTTATATTCCTGAACATTAAAAGTTGGAACTCCTGAAAACTAAAGTTCAGTCAGTCTCCGTTTGCAAAACTACCCTTTCAACAGGACCAGGCATTTCTATTCTGAAGAAGCCATCTGAGTTAAAAGTAGTATACTTTCACTTATACATAAACTCATTCAGAAATGCGTTGTTGGATTAAACATGGAAAAAAATTTTGGCCATACCATTTGACACCACCTCAATAAGATAATCTCCTAAAAAGAGGTGTCATAGAGTGATGTTTCTAATGTTTCTAGAACCCCTGATGATCAGATTTTCAAGAGTTGATTTTTTTTTTTTTGCTTTCATACTCAGCTATATCTCCAGTCATCCAGTCATTTTCTTCCTTTCTT